AGCTGACTTCTCTCATTCTGCGCATACAGGCCACCGCGATCCAATACCTCCGCCGATTCTACCTAACCAATTCACCCATGACATACCATCCAAAGTCGATCATGGCGTGTGCACTCTTCGTCGCGACCAAAACCGATAACTACTATATCTCTCTTCGGCAATTTGCAGATGGAATTCCTGGCGACACAACCACAGAGGATGTCATCGCACCAGAATTCCTGCTCATGCAGGGACTCCGTTTCACTTTCGATGTACGGCATCCATTCCGGGGACTTGAAGGCGGCGTCATGGAACTACAAGCCATCGCACAAGGCCAAGGCCAACCAGCCCCCCATCTACCGCATGAAACCGCCGAAGATCTCCAACAAGGATTGCTATCCATCGCACCTCCTCCGGTTCCATCGTCCTCAATGTCAGATCGAATCGCCCGGGCCCACGGTACAACTCGTGAGCTGCTGAAATCCGCGGCGCAGATGACGGACGCCTACTTCTTGTACACACCATCCCAGATCTGGTTTTCCGCGTTCTTACTAGCGGATCGTCCCCTAGCCGAATTTTTGCTGGATGTCAAACTTGGTGGTCCTGTCACAGCCACAGTCCCCGCCCCCGAAACAGACGAAAATGGCCTAGTAAACCCTCTATACGAAATCCGCTCCAAGCTACATCATGTTTTGAGTGAATGCTCTGCTCTTCTCCAATCCTACACACCACTCTCCTCCGACCCCGCGCAAATGAAGAGCCTCAAGCGCATCGCAAAGAAACTATATCATTGTCAGAACCCCGAGAAGGTGAATCTAGCCGCCGCTCAAAAACGGGAATCAGCCCAACCATCTACCGCTGTTCAAAGCGATACCGGGGTGGTCACTTCGGAGAGCGAAACAGAACGTCTAGCGAAAAAGCGGAAATTGGAACAAGAACAGACCGTCCGTCAGGATGATGATGTTTTTGGTCCGGAGTTGGTCACCCAGCGAACAAAGCAGTAATGGCCATGCAAGCCATTGAATCTAAATACACAAAATATTTTAATATCAAATACCAGAACCGACAACACTACTAGATACACCGAACGTTGGACTACAAGACCTTACTTACATGTAGCCTACAAATGCATAAACAAAACCTGAAATACTATATTCAAAAGGGCAAATGATCTAGAATATCCACCAAAATATCAGCAACCATCAGAGGTGCCGCATCACCGGTAGCAAGCTCATGTTTAACCACGGTCAATTCCCACTTAATCGAGAAGCAAATATCCTTAATAGGAAGCGCACCCCAACGGATACGCACGCGGTTATCATCGCGGATCCCGAATCCGCCAACCTCACCCAGGAACCCTATTTGAATGACCCGCTCACTCAGCTCCTCTAGTCGTGTGTTCATCTCCTCCATGTCAGGACTAGGTGATGGACTCAGCAGAGCGAAGACTTGGCATTGGAGCTTGTGGGTGAATGTTTCGCAGGCTTGTGTGTAGATCTGTCGGAAGTTATGGGGTTGGATGCGGGCTCCGTCCATTGTGTGCTTGTGGGTTGTAGTTATGTAGTATGTATGTATGTATGTATGTATGTATGTATGTATCTAACTCTGTGTATGTAGGGGTTAAGGTTAATTAATGGATTAGGATTAGGGCTTAACTGGCTGGTTTTGGGTCTGGTTGTAGTTGTATAGCTGTGGAGAATGAGATGCTAGATGGGATCGGATTTGTGGTGAGATTCGGGTTGTACATATTTATATATACTGTTTTGTTGGGGATGACTTGGATTTGGTTCTTTGTTCGAGAGATAGTGAAGAAAGACAATGAGGGATACTATGGCCATTGTTGATGTTCTTTGTCTGGTGTCTGCATCGCCACGGTGTGTTCTATTAGTAGTGTTGGGATAAGAATAACACAAAAGAGAAGAAAGGTATTGGCAATTCTTGGATCAGACCTATGGCCAGCCATCCTTGAGGTCATGACAACATTGATGATGAGGAAGATTACCTAGAATAGGAGAACATGGAGTATCAAGAGCAAGTTTGAACCATATATACAAGTCACACCATATGCCAAAACTGAGATATTACATCCTATTCTTCAATATAGCGAGAATCACATATATTTTAGAGTGGCATCCTTCATATTCACCTCGGAAGAGAGGACTAGGTACTCTATCAAGGATGCATGAACAAGACAGGAAAGCGAAAAACAGACGGATCGAATCAGGGGTAATGAGTTCATAGCAAACGCAGAAGTCCAATCCTCCATTACCCAAAATCTATTCGGAAAGGGAGGAAGGACAAAACGATCTAACGGACAAAAAGAAAATAAATGAAAACCATCCCAATCCAAGGAACCTTTTGTTGGAATGTCCCTTTTGCGGGAACCAAACTTTTAGTGCCACGATATAGGCATTTGTATTCCTTCAGTTCTCGTCTAGCATTTCGTCATCAATAGGGGGAAAAAAAGAAGTTGAACAAAGTTGATCAAAGAGAATGTAAAGCCCTTAAACGGCACCAGCAGACAACATCTTGTTACGGAGGTGGTTCTTGTAGTCACCGATGGAGCCGTCCCAGCGGCGGATAGTCTTGTCCTCACAGACCATGATGTCCTTGGCAATCTTGTCCAGGAGACGGAAATCGTGAGAGACAACGACGACACCACCACTGAAAGCGTTGATGGCATCGGCCAAGGAGTCAATAGTGGGGATATCGAGACCGTTGGTAGGCTCGTCAAGAAGAATCATGTTGGGGGACTCAATAGCCAGCAGAGCGAAGACAATACGAGACTTCTGACCTTCGGACAGGGTACCCATGAGGGCAGTCTGGCCCTCACCACTCAGACCGTAGCGGCCGAGCTGCTGGCGCCAGTACTGGTAATCCTGGGACTTCTCGGGGAAGCGGTCACGAACGAACTCCAGGGAGGACTTGGTGAGATCAAGCTGCTCGGCGGAGTGCTGACTGTAAACACCGAGCTTCAAGTGAGTGTGACGGGAGACACGACCACCGATGGGGCTGAGCTTGCCGGTCATGAGACGGAGCAGGGTAGACTTGCCGACACCGTTGGGGCCGACCAGGGCGGTACGGGAGTCCATGTCGACACCGAGGTCGAGGTGCTCGTACAGAGTGTCATCCCAGTTACCGGAGTAAGAGAAGCTGACATCGTCGAAGGAAAGAACTGGGGGAGGAAGCTTCTCAACATCGGCGAAACGGAAGGTGAAGACACGGTCGGCAACGACGGGCTGAATGAAACCATCGGCCTCCATCTTGTCAAGAATCTTCTGGCGAGACTTGGCTTGACGCACCAAGTTAGCGTAGGTACCAGCGGAAGCAATGAACTTCTTGATGTGCTGGATTTCTTCCTGCTGCTTGGTGTAGGCCTTGCTCTGGTTGGTCTCCTGCTCGCTACGGGTCTTGTGGTAAGAATCGTAGTTACCACCGTAGTAGAGAAGCTTCTGGCCACGCATGTCGAGCATGGTGGTGCAGACACCGTTCAGGAAATCCATGGAGTGAGAAACCAGGATCAAAGTACGATCCCACTTCTTGAGGTACTCCTCCAGCCACACACAAGCCTCCAAATCCAAATGGGCAGTGGGGTCATCAAGCAAGAGCAAAGAGGGCTTGACGAACAGGGCCTTGGCGAGGGCCACACGCATACGCCAACCACCGGACATGTCCTTGGTCTTCTTGTTGATGGTGTTCTTGTTGAAACCGAGACCGGTCAGAATGAGGGAAGCACGAACATGGAAAGTGGAAGGATCCATCTTGTCCATACGCTGTATAAGATAGTTAGCTTCTGCTCTGGAACCAAGGAGAGTAAAACTCGAAAAATACGTACGTCATATAGGTCTTCAAGGATAGGGCTATCAGGGCCAGTGTCCTCAAGAACCTGCTCGGCCTTCTTCTCCATTTCATCCAACTGGCGTTCGGCCTCACGGACAACCCAGTCAAGGGCACCGAAGTCGGTGGGAGGTGCACCCTCGTTCAGAAGGTAGATATCGACGTGCTCGGGAACGGGGTACTCGCGGGCAGCAATGGACTTGAGGATAGTGGACTTTCCGCAACCGTTCTCACCGAGGAGACCATAGCGACGACCGAAGGTCAACTCGAGAGTGGAATCGGTGACCAGGACCTTTCCGTGGAACACCAGGGAGCAAGAGGTAATCTTAACATCGCGAGAGGCGGGCAGAGATGACAGCACACCAGTGGTGACACGATCGGACAGACCGTGCTTATCCATTTGGGCTGTGAGCTTATCAACGGCGGACTGATCCTTAGTGGCGGGCGCATCCTCAACGATGGGGTTTCCGTGGGCATCGAGCTCGACCTTGGTGTCCTTCTTAGGCTTCTTCTCGTCGGCACGCTTGGCCATGCGGGCAGCCTTCGAGGCGGAAACCATGATTGCGTGTATGTGACGGTATAAAAAAAAAAAGGGGGAGTTTAAAAAAAGAAGTAAGGGAAGACGGAAAGTAAAGGGAGGGAGAGGAGAAAGGATGACACTGCAAAAAGAGATTGAAGAGAAATGCAAAAAGACTGAGTGGATCGCCTGGCGGGGCGGACAGGGAAATGGAGGGGCGTAGGAGGCAGTGGAGTGGTTTTTGCCCTTATCGATAGAATGATAGAAATGATAGAATCCTATCGATTGTCAGTTTGAGAGGAAATAGTTGAAGAAAGGAAAAATAGAATGTACCCTTTTCTCACTTATAAATTTATTTCTTTTTGTTTTAAAGTAAAAAGGTGAGTTGGCAAAATCCCAAGGGTTTAAGAACTTTTCAAACAAAAAAAAAAAAAGAAAAAAAGAAAAAAGAAAAAATCGAATCAGTGGGCCGTCGAGATAAAATGAAATTTGATTGGGGAGAGACGTCACCGTAGTGAATGCCTAAGGTGTCCAATTTGCCACTTGGATTTGTGTGATACGCGACTGGACGATAACAGGAGGGCTATCTTGCTATTTTAAAGAGAGATAACGAGATAAACATGAAGATAATATTTTAATATCTAGGGTCTCCCCCTTTTAAAGTCTTTTAAAGTCTTTCACTAATCTTCAGCAACACTTCTTGCTCCTCCGCCGAAAGCAATATCCCATTAGGCACCGAAATATCACCATGTTCTACAATCAACCGACGAGGGGCATCAGTCAGACTATCCTCATAATGACTAGGAACACTAGTTGTTTCCTTGTGGGTAGCATTTTCAATATTCCCTCGAGATGGCGATAGAGGATGTGACGTCCACCAGTACAACGGATACCGACGCTGGATATTGTTGATTACCACAGCCGCAGCCTGCATAAGCATGACTCCAAGCAACATGACTGGGAACAGAAACCAGCCCAAAGCAACAGTCTCAGAGTGTGTCACTGCCAGGAGAGCAGTTGCACCCGCCGGCGGGTGTGTAGTATTGGTGAGAAGCATGACGGCCGTGGTAAGAGCACAAGCAAGAGCACCCCCAAGCTCAGTATACGCTTCAGCACGAGGATCTAAGGCGAACAACTTCGATATCCCGACACCAAAGAAACAGGCAATGACCTGGCTCAGGATTGCATTACGTGGTTGTGCGAAAGGCGACTCGATCGCTCCGAATTCAATAACTGCCGCTGCACCCTATTATCCAAGAATCATAAGAGTCAGCCTTGGGTCATTCTTGGTCCACTCTCTCTGCCCTAGCATCAAACCCGCCCATAACTCACAAAACTGCCAACAATCGCCGTCGCATCACGCGCTTCAAAAGAAGGAACCCGTTTCGAAACAGATGCCACCAAGGCCACGCCACAAAACGCCCCAACTATCGACCACAACGCGATCAAGATATTGCCTATTGGTTTGGGAGGTTTGTCCCGGTATCCAAGCATATGTGCAATCGGTCTTGGTATGAGATGCCATCGTGGTGCTGGCACAAACGGATTCAGATACCGATCGATATCGAAATTCCAGGTCGTCGGGCGGGATAGCGTTACCGGTGCATGTGGGGGAGATGGTGCCATGCTGGACTGCTGCGATGGGCAAATATGTTGTATGTTCTAAGGCTCTGGTAGGGTTTCTAGTGATTCTGACAGCAGCACCAAATCTCACGAAGACATCTCACTGTGGGGTTCAGCCTTGTCGGGGAATAAAGAAAGAACCTTCCATCCACCGTATCCCGGGTCAGCTGGTTAGTGAGCAACACCTCATCTGCGCCGGTTTAACACGCAAGCCTTTCTCTCTTTCTCCGCGGATGTCAAATCTCCGACGTCCCCAAGGTGTTGTTGCCAGGTCCAATTTCTTGTCCACTCAGCGGATTTGCATTTAGTAACATAAACTACCGTTTGGGATTAGCGGCTTGGCATAGCGTCATTGTCCGGCTTGACGATATTTCCTATTTCGTCAGCATCGTATAGATGTGTACTCCATGGCTTCATTCTTGCTACAATTGAGTATTACAAAGTAAGAAATAGAGTTGACTTTTCCCACACAACGCAGCTCTCCCCGCTATGTGATATATGCCCAACAACAAGAGCATCCATCTATACTAAAGAATACAACATAGTGAGATATCAAGAAAAAGAATCAAATCTTCCCCCCAACATCCCTCAAACACTCCTCCCCCTCCCCAATAACCAACGGCAACCCAACGCACCAAGCGCGCGGATACTCCATCCCCCACTTCGCCATAAGCGCCCTAAGGTCCGCCTCATAACCAGGAACAACATTAACAAAGACCCGATCCCCATGGGATCGCGGCTCAGAATGCACCGCGCCCTCGTCCTCGCCAACCCGGAAGAAAACACACTCCCCCGTCGACGCCTGCACAGTTCCATGTCTGCCCAGCTCAACGGCCAGCCGTGCTCGCACTGACTCGGCCGCCATGGCGCAGCCGACACAGCGCACGGAGACGCAGATGTGGTTTGGGTTTGCGGTGCGAGCGGCTGTTTTCGCGGCTTGTTGAGTGGCGCGGGCTAGGTGGTTTGTTGCAGGTGGGATGAATAAGGTTCCTGGGCCTAGGAGGGTTGTTGTGAGTTTCCAGTTTGTTGGGGTTGGGCTTGTAGATGGGATTTGTGCGGTTGGGGGTGTAGATTCTGGGCAATGGTCATGATGGTTGGTTTGTGGATTTGAGGGTGAGATAGGATTTGAGAGGTCTTGGTTTGTTGTTGATCCTGTCCGGGTGGGTTTGAGTAGATTAGTGATTGGCGATAAGAGCGATTCACGTCTATGGTTTATTGGTGGTTTGAGTGGGGAGAAGAATAAATCGTCTGTGTGCCAACGTGGGGTATCGAATTCGTTCGATCCTTTGCTTGCTCTGATTGTGAGCCAGTAGTGGGATTGGTTGTTTTTGGTGAGGAAGTCGTGGACATATGCTAGGAAGGAGAATAGGGAGGGCAATATTGAGCCGCTGAGTGTGACTTCTGCCCAGGTATTAAAGGAGGATGGCAGGTTACATGATTCAAGGGTCAAGAGGGGTCCGCAATAAGTCCATGAGGACGAGGTGTTGAGAGTAATTGGTTCATCTGGTGGTAGTAGTTCTTTAGGCTGGACTGGATATGGGATGAATCGGAAATCTGGTAGCGATTTAACGTCCATTTCACAAATATCTTTTTAGCTCAAGATTTGATTCTTCAGGGGGCCGTGGAATAATTTCCAAAGCCTTCCGTTCGTATAAGAGAAGAATATGCTCAGACCCCTAGCTCGTGCATACCATGTGACGGTAAGAATCCAGTCAACGGCCGAGCAGTTAGGGGGGGTCCGTTTGTTAGGCAGCAATATGAACATCGAATATCCAGATACATATGTAGATTATTAGACATAACTAGTTAACTAGTTTTGGCCGTTGAAATGCTTTTGTGTAACAATATTAAGTATTTAGTTGTCAACTGGGTATTTTGTATTTATTGGAAGAATTTTAAAATTTCATTCCAAGGCTTCAATTTAGATTGCCTTTTAACTATCAGGTATATCATAATCATTATTGCATTTTTTTACAAAACCCGAGCTTAGACGTCCAAAGTACGTCCAGTGCGGGAACTCTCACGAGCCAACTCGATCAAACGAATGACCTCGCGAGCCTCCGCGCCACTGGCAGGGAGATCGCCCTCACCATTAAGAGCGCGAACAAGCTTGCGGTAGTACTCGGTGTAGGTGGGGGGCTCCACGGTGGGAACCACCTCCTTGAAGGGCTTGCCGTCCCTGATAGTAGTCAGAGCACCATAACGCTCGCTTGGCTCACGGCCGTAACCCTTATTCTGAGGCATGATGCCAGCCTTGAGCTGATCTTCTTGGATATCAAGGTGGTACTATTCAATCATGTCAGTTCTTATTTTTTTTCTTTATGTCGTAGTCTGCGGAGGTAGATGCTCTTACCTTCTTGAAGCTACCCTTGTCACCGCGCACCCAGAAGCGCAGCTGCTCGTCCTCGGGACTGACCACGGTCGCCTTGGCGGTAACCAATAGGCCGCTGGCATAGTGCAGCAGAACGGTGAAGGAGTCCTCGTATGAAGACAAGTTGGCCTCCCGGGCGGAGCCAATGAAACCGGTCACCCGCGCGGGAAGACCGAGGAGGTGCACGGCCTGGTCGAGGAGGTGGGCTCCAAGGTCGTAGATCGCGGAGCCACCAGGGATGACCTTGTTCTTCCACTTGTGAGAGTCGGAAGCTGGCTCCTCGGGACGGTGGCGGTCGAAGTGGGTCTCATACTCGGAGATGCGGCCGAGAGAGTCGTTCTTGACGAGCTTGGAGAGGGTCACGAAGTCGGCATCGAAGCGGCGGTCTAGGGCAGGTATTAGTAGGGGTCTTCATAAGCTAGAGTCTGGACGAGGACACATACTCTGGAACACGGCAATCTGCTTGCTGTTCTTCTTCGCAATGGCAACGAGCTCATCGGCTTCCTGGGTGGTGGGAGTGAAGGGCTTCTCGCAGACGACTATGTTCCATGTTAGTTTCTATATCCAATTGCTATTCGGGGACTTCTGGGCACTTACCGTGCTTGCCCGCCTCCAGCGCCAGCTTGGACAGCGCAAAGTGAGAATCGGGGGCAGTAGTGATGATCACTACGTCAATTGCGGGGTCCTGGACCATCTCCTCCGTGGTACGGAAAGACTTGATACCGGGGTGATCCTTCTCGGCGTCATCATCTTGCTTCGGGGTGCGCTGGACGACTGCGTAGAGCTTGAGTTCGGGGACCTCCTGTACGAAGGGAATGTGGAAGATCTTTGCGCTGAAGCCGTAACCAACAACGCCGACATTATAAGTCTTGCTAGCCATGATGGATTATAGGTTGAGATTTTAATTGAGGGAGAAAGTAGGAGGGACAGGGATTACCTGGGTATTTATATTGGCCCCGGAAATCATTTAGCGGGGGAGAACGTGGGAAGGTCCTGGCGACGGCAACACATTGGCTCAAGTGGGGGTCGCCCCAAAGGCCGAGTCGGTTTCCCGATGTGGGAAATGTTCGACTCAACTTTGTACATCAACTCGGAGCACTGTACGCCTTTATTAATAATGACTATTTCTTTCATATTCTCTCTTATGACAACTGTCAGTGTCCATCAACTTCTCAGACAAATGTGTATCACAAGTCTCTGCTGGACTGATTAAGGAACAATGAGCATATAGCTCTGAGGGGATACTGGAGTCTCTATTAGATGGAGCCAATGAAATGAAATAGTATAATTCTTCAGGAGACCAGAACTATTGAGGCGGGAGTTATCCACTAGATCTCCGCCATAATTTCCCCAGAAGAATCGCCCTTAGTAGCGAGTCCCACCTAGGCATTTCCCATCTATGCCTGCACTCCCACACACCTTGTAACTTCGACAGCATCCTATTAACCCAATTGCGATTAGCGATATCGAAACCTTCTTTGATGATTCAAACTTACCTGCAATCCTTCGGGTTGGTTAAGCTGACTCTCATACACCAAGTTCGGGTTCCCGACAAATTGAAAAGTGGGCACGTCATTTCTACCCACAAAGGACTCTACCGCCCTGTCGCCCATCCCCGTGGTGTTATAAGCCTGGGAAGGTCCAGACTTAGCCGCCTCACGTTTCTGTTCCACCGTGCTGCGGACGTATTCCAGATATGGTGGGTTGCCCGGATAAAGGACATTGTCAGCAGCGAGCACTGAACCTGGCACAATAGCCCTGAAGTGTTCACACAGCTTGAGGTCGGTGGTATACGCCGGTTTGTAATGATCAATGAAAAGAAGTTCCACTTTCTTCACATCGCTCGAGGTGAGTAGGTTGTGGAGCGACACGTCGCTTCGACCGACGATGATACGCACAAAGTCCCGCAGCCCAGCTAGCTCGACGAGCATATTGGCAATTGCGGCGAACTCTGGGTTCAATTCTAGACTCAAGTAGCGTTCGCCGCCATTTCGACGGACTGCATCGCCGAACAAGATCGCAGAGTATCCCACGTAGCAACCAAGCTCGATCATGGTCTTTGGCTTGAGTTCATCGATGAGATTGGTGACGATTTTGCCCTTTTCGGCGCCAACATTCATGAAACGGTATTGTTTCTCAAACTCGTGAATCAAATCAATCACTTTTTGGGGGTGTCCCCGGATTTCATCCAGGTTTGCTTGTCCATAGATGTAACGCAGAAGCTTCAGCTCCTTGCCGGCGTCGCTCTAGAGTATAAGTTAGCGTTAATTTCTCACAATCAAAGGGTCAGAATGCAATTCCTACCGCGGGAACTGGTGTAGACATGACGTGAGGTTAGAGCAAAGGAATATGATAAATGATCTAGGTAATTCTATCCGGACAAGCCACCTTATATATGGCAACTCACCTCGGGGTTAACCTTGGTCCTTGCATATACTTCGGGTAGAGGCGGTAGATAAGTCCGAGTCGGACCACGTACACCACTCACCATTCATCATTCATTAGTAGACGGGGTTATCAACATTCCAAGTCTGGAAATTCATATACCTCGGAGCTACCTCTTCAGGCAATCAGTACCGAGCGTGCTAATTGATTGATAAAGGATCGGAAACCTGATCCCATGTAGTAATTCCGGGCAATTCCTAGCCCTGGAGGTTAGATCCGAGACCCGCGTCGGTAGTTCTAGATAAATTTACCCAAAGATCTAGATCCTCCAGAATTCTACGTATAGATCGAGGTGTTTAAGTGTCTAAATGTTGAATCTTGAAAGTACATCGTCACATCGTCACACCGAACTAGATCTGCAGCCCAAGCCCCTCACTAATACCCAGCCACCGCCAACTCACATTTTCACTCCTTCCAAGGTTGTGACCATGTCCTAGGTATACTCCACACTGGCCTTTCGAGGTTCATTGTTCTCAACACCTATGGTCAAATGATCAGACACATTTATTCGTTCGTTGCGGTGAGACACAGACTCAGCATGTCGATCAAATCCGCCAAAGCCTCGATGTCATCGAGGACTTGGTCACGAGTATTGTGGCATCTTCTTCGAATTTGCCTTTCATTCTCATTGTTATTTGTCGATAACGCCATTCTCGTGGTCGCGGGATTATTTGCCTATCTCCGGTCAACAGCTATTCGATTCCGAGCGACCCAACGGAATGTACACTTTTACCCGAAAACAGTCCTCATCACTGGCATAGGTACGACTCACGGCCTGGCTCTGGCAAGATCATGGGCTGTAGAAGGCCACCGCGTGGTTGGGGCCGATGTTACAGACCTAGATCTGCCCGTGCGTTCCGGCGGGAGCATGTCCAAGGCCCTGGTGGCATTCTACCAGATTCCCAAGGACCATTACATCTCCCGGCTACTGGATGTCATTCACCGCGAAAAGATCGACATGTGGATCCCGTGCTCGCCCAAGGCATCCTCCATTGAAGACGCGACGGCCCGTCAGGTCGTTGAGAGTCGCACTAGCTGCAAGTGTATCACCTTCGACACCGAATTGGCGGCTTGCTTCGCCCATCCTGATTCTTTCAGGCAGTATGTGATTGAAAGAGGTCTTCCTGTGCTAGAACATCACAGGGTTCAATCGCGCGACTCCGTACACAAGATCTTGCACCGGTCGCCCTCCAAGAGCTACCAGATCTCACGAGCAGCTCCATCTGCAAATGAGAAAGCTTTGATGTTGCCGAGGCGTACGCTGAGCAAGACATATACGGTAGTCAGCGAGATTCAGATCTCCAAGGATCAGCCCTGGATTCTGCAGCAACAATCTCGTCTCGGAGAGATCTTTGCAGACCTACTGATTGTGCGTGGCCACGTTCAAGCCATCAAGGTGCGGGTTTTGGAGGCTGGTTCGTCTACATGCGGTGTATCTGCATCGCGCCTAGGTGAGGCTCTGGCCGCTTCGGCCCATAGACTCATGCAGATATTGGCAGCCAAAGGTGGTGTTCGCTCGACAGGTCATCTCTCCGTCAGACTCATGGTCGATGAAGAGTTCAAAGCGAATTCTGTCCGACACACTATCTACATCGCCGGCTGTACACCTGGTGCCAAAGCTGTCGATAATTTGCTGTATGATGTACCTTTCTCCATTGCAGGATATCTATCTGTGTTCCCTTCCAATCCAGTCGATACAGCCAACATCACAGCCAATGTCACAGCCACACTGCCATCAACCCGCTCAGCCCCAACATTTGCCCGAGTCGCCATTCTTCCCGCTGCTTTCTTGCAGTTTTCGTTGTTTCACTTTGCACTCACGGCACTTGAAGTTGTTGAGGCAGAACTAGTGAGACTGTTGTTCTGGAAAGACCCCTTGTTCTCTTTTCTTGATCCGGTTCCCTGGTGGTGGCAAGTTCATGTCTATCAACCTTTGCGCGAGATCTGGGTGTTGATGAAACAAACACGAGAAGCAGGATTGACTTGATGTATTTCCTTTTTTATGTTATGTTGTGTACAACATAGTATGAGTATACGAGCAATGAGACTATGATGTCAAGTGACAGGCATACGCCAAGCAAAATGTGGCGGAGTTCCCGAAATAGTAACGGGCTGTCGCCTGGGCGATGTGGAGGATGTACGTATGCCTTGTAGAAAACAAGACGGGCAAAAGAGATTAATTGAATATCGAACTCTTCAATTTAACATATCTCTCTGTCATTCTGATTATAATAAATCCAAAAGTTGCGACATTGCGACAGGAAAAAAACGGACAGAAGAAAAAAACAAAAACAAAACAAACCGACACATTTTCTCCACGCAGCCTCAGCCTGGCCAAGACAGAACCCTCTCCAGGTCTCATTCTTCAGAGCTCGACTCTGTTCTTGTCTCATCTCTCACCTTTTTTTTTTTTTTTTTTTTTGTGCCGTATGACTTCACGATAGACTATCTCCTCACTCCGAGACAACCCCCTCTCTTCCCTCCGGGCCAAAAGCGCAACACCCTTGCAGCGCTCCTACACACAATATGAAGTTTCAAATGCCGTCAGGCGGAAGCCTCGGACGAACAAAAAACATAATACATTTTGTACAAGGATTCATTATCTTCCTTGCATGGGCATTAACCATCGCTATCTGGACTAAAGGTGACGGCATCGATGGACGCACAGGCTGGTACTGGGGTCTGGTCAGTCTTCCATTCCTACGTTTCTGATATATAAAAAAGATTTCTTTCACTAACGTACCATCGCATGGCAGTGTTGGCTGAGTATTCCCGGTCTGGTCTATCTGGTGGCAGTGCCAATGTGGCCACGTGCCCGACGCTTCGGTAACGTGTATGCCTTCGCCAGTGTCGACATTCTCTATGCGATTCTTTGGCTGAGTGCTTGGATCTGTCTCGCTTCCTATGTCGCCCAAGGAAAGTCCAAGGGCTCGAGCAGCTCCGATGACAAGTCCAAATCGGACTCCAAATCCACCACCAAGAGAGCCGATGACAAGAGCACCAAGACCGGATGCGATAATTGGGCATACGGAAGCTCTTCCAAGTGCAAGCTGAGCGAGGCAACTACAATTATTGGTGTTTTCATTTTGTAGGTGAATTCCTTCTAACTCCGCGACACAGCGGTCCTTTGAATGAAACTAACAGACAAAACAGCATCCTCTTCGCCATCACCGCCTACATGTCCTTCCGTAACGTAGTGCACTTCCGTCGCACTGGAACCCTCCCCGACGCTGTCTCCGACCCCACCTTCGCCGCGCAGAGCAAAGCCGCCTTCTCGTCAAACCCAGCCCACGACTTCGAGGAGGATGAGGATGACATCCGTTCCGGTCGAGGCGGCGGCATGGCCGCCTCGTCCCGCGGTGATCGGGATGAGGACTATGCGCTCCTGCACCAGAGCGAGGTGGATGACCTAGGCAGCACACACGGCCGGACCGCGATGCAAGGCTCCTACGATCCCACCGCTCCCGCGCCTGGAGGCATCCTCCATGAATATAATAACACCGGCTACGGTGGTGCGCATGGCCAGCACTATGCGGAGCCCTCCACCCAGTACAACCCGTCGGATTACACCCCGTCTGAATACACAGCTCCCACTGGGTTTAACGGCTCGTCGGTGAACTACGGTAGACGGCCAAGTTAAGTACAGGGTGTTGTCAGTGTACATGGAGACATAGCTCAATGAAATACCCAGGGGATTGATGAGTCGTCTTGCTTTTTTTGCGCCTTGGATATTGACCATGGAGCGGTGTTGGGCGCATCGCTGTTTACTCGGGGCTGTTGCCCTTGTCTTTACTATGTTTCTCGGCGGTCTTTTGGCCCTGGGATTACGATTATATGTTCTGCTTTTGTTGAATTGGATCTAGCAAAATATAGATGTATTGCATTGTAAAATTATATGTTCCTGTGGTGTTTTGTAGATTAGAATACGTTGGTGGGCAATATATGTTGTGTAGGTGATATCTCCAGGACTGGGATATGATCAGTCTGTCCTAAACAGACATCCTTTTTTTTTTCGGAAAATATGAAGCAATGGTATGCTCACATTTTCACCTTTCATGGTGGCCCATACAAGAATGTTGTTGATAGCGAAAGGTACCAATATTCTGCCACCGCTTTCCATATCAGTGGGTTTATGGACAGCTTGCCCTCTTGCCATCACCATCTCTTGACAAGTACAAACCCGAATATTGACCCCAAAGTGAGCCGTGCTTTGTGGAAAAACCAGACTATACATCCAAAACTGTACCTTGTATGAATTAACCCATTCCCTCATCAGACCTTCCCATTCCACTACCGAAACACCTACGCAGTCACACCACAGCGCATATACTAACAGCCCGAGAAGCAACAACCGACTTTACAACCCCAACACCGAGACCTCAGGTCTCCCCAACTCCCAAAAATGGCCAGTGAAATCGATATCTACAACCAATACCCATTGCACATGGACCCAGCCACCAAAGCACTCTCACTCCCACACCCATCCGCCCAAACACCCTCCCAAACAGCCGCAATCAACACCGAACTGCAAGAACTGAACCAACTACACCGCGCCCTCATCAGCCTCGACCCACCCAACATCCCCCCGGCGCCCCTCCCCATAAACCCCAAGCGCAGCGCCCAGATCTCCAAACTCCGCGACAGCGCCAACGCCGCCCACCGCAAATCCAACTACGAAGAGGCAATCAAGCTATACTCGTACGCCATCGACATGGCACTCAGCCGGCCGGGCTGGGAGCCTGTTGGCGTTGCGCGCGAGGAGTTGTCTGGTCTTTATGCGAACCGCGCGCAGGCGCAGATGGCCTTACAGGCTTGGCCTGAGGCGTTGGTTGATGCTAAGGCTAGTGTTGACTCGAAGCCTGTTGCGAATGTTAAGGCTTGGTGGCGTATTGCTAAGTGTCTTGCGGAGATGAGTCGGTACGAGGAGGCGCGCAAGTTCTTGCATAAGTCGCTCGATATGGAAGGGAAGGATTCGGAGGGTGGGAAGGAGTTGTTTGCGTTGCTTGGGGAGGTGGATAGGGCTTTGTTGCGGGGATTGTCGGCTTAAATTTGATTTATCCTTGTTTCATTTCTGTGTTGGCTAGACTGTGTTGAGGATTTTATGGTTTATTTGGTTTTGACTGCATGATTCCCTCCCTGTTGGGATGTTTCGAGGCGTTTATGTGATTTATATGTTGTTGACTAGTGACACTCTATCCGTTCATCTTCGCCGTTACTCGCATCAATATTGGTTATTCTTGTCTATCAAAATGAAGATTATCTGATTATCAACCTCTTCATTTAAGGTTCCCTTCTTCACTTTGCAAGTAAGTAATCGTAGAAGCGTCAGACCTATTGCAAAGAACGGCCTTGCGACTAACTTGTCTCCCGTCTCTATAACAATGGCAACATGGTGTGCAATAGATAGCAAATCTTCATAAAGAGGAGAAAAATTGACTGGATTCGAGGAAGCTTAGAAGGCAAAAGAAGGAATGTATATAAGAAGTGCACGCTGAGAAAACTACCAATCCAAAGCAACATCGAATCACATCATATCAGACCAGAACACTAGACCCATCACTCTTCTTGCAGGCACAAGAACCGGCGTTAGCAGCCACCTGGGTCGGTGTACGCGCAAAGCTAGGAGGCACATCAAGGACAGGGTTGCGGTCAAAGAAGTTGCGAGGCCGCAGAAGAAGTGTCATTGGCTCCGCAGGCATAATCGGGTAATCCTCCGGCGAAGGGAAATGTGTGAGGCCGAAAGTGTGCCAGAGTACAACGTCAGTATTATCAATGGAGCAACTGGGCCCAGCAGCTTCAATCCACGCGGGTAGACCCTCCGAGGGCTCGCCGGAGGTCTGCGGGACGTGGCGACCAGCTGGGTGGACTTGGTCGTCGTCATCTAGAGAACTGAGTTAGAGAAAGAGCACGATATAAGAAAGGGAAAATAAAATAGAACTCACATTTAGTGACATGGACGGCATGGCGTGCAAAACCTGCTCGCTTCCAGACTAGTCCGCCGGCCTTGGGGAGCAGAGGAGGAACGTCACGGCTGACGAGCTTGTAGCTGACGGGCTTCTTGCTGTATGGGTTCAGCTTGTTGGTATTGGCCATGTCCCAGGTACGGCTGGTAGATCCGTCATAGTCAGACATAGCCTCGAGGGGCGTGGAGAACTTTGTCTTTTTGGCGTAGAAGGCGTTTCCATATTTGTTCTCGGCACTGCCGACTTCGCCGGGTCCTTGAACTGCATCTACCTGGAAGACGGTATTGCTTGGCCCGTCGACGTTCGGGTCTACACGGAGACAGAACAGGTGCTGGTGGTTGTGGGCGTTGACGCCCGGGTACACCTCAGTTCCCCAGCCCTTCGTATCCTCGCCAGGGTTCATGGCGAAGGTGTTGAGAATTCCAGTCAGCTTGATCTCGAGTTGGATTGTACCGTCTTGGTGGAAGATCCAGTACACGCAGTACTCGTAGTTTGCTGCGGTGAAGATCTGCGAGATGATGAGCTTTCGGCCGCGGGTTACGACCATCGACTCGTCGCGGAAATCAGTGTGCTTGAATAGGATGCCGGCGTCTTCTTCGTGGATGCAGATGGCGTTCTTGATGATTGTGCTGGCGCCAGCACGGTTGACGAATGCCGCGTCCATGTAGTGGATTGCGCCCTTGCAGTCGCATCCCAGTGTCAGGCTGTTGGTCATGTATCCGCCGCCGTACTCGCCCAGGTCGAATGCGTGCTTGCGTTGGTGGGGATGTTCCGGGTTGCCGTATGGCACGACCATCTCGGCCAGTGAAAGACGCCAGAAGACAGGACGCACATTGCCTTTGTCGTTGAATGTGATGTTGTTTAGGATAATGCCTTCACGGTAGTTGAAGCCAACGTGGATGTTCCAGTTCTGCCATTCGATTGTGCGTCCCTTGACTTCGAAAGATACACCTTCTGGCTGTGTGACGTGAATTGGCTTAACGTCGGTGCGGTATCCACCTTCTTTCTCGATTGCGGCAGGGTGGTAGTTATTTGGCGCGGCCTTGCTGACCGGTCTCCGCACAGGCGGCACATCGATGTGGATGATCTCCTTGGTCTCGGCGTTGTAGATGGGACAGAAGTCCAAGGGATAGGTGTATTGGGAGTCGTCAGGGTGAGGGCGGTAGTACATAAGGGCTTGCTGAAGACGGACGCCGGTTCCAAAACGCTCATCGTATCCAATTGTCCACGCTAGAATGCCATTTGATCAATGTCAATCTTCGATAAGTGAGGAAAGCTCACTTACGGTCACAGTAGACTTTGTGCATATCCTCCTTGGGGATTCCAATAATACCACATTGCTCGATAACCTTAGCATCCTTGCGTACAACATGTTCAACCTCCTGCAAATCCTCCATGGTGATCAGAGGCTGAACATTCGGTGTGTGTTGCCACTTGATGATCTTCTTCTGGTCCAGATCAACCACACCATCGTATATCTTACCGCCAGGTGCAATGGCAACAATATCGGCGGTTCGAGCAGGGCGAGGAGCATTCTCTGGATCAGCCACCCAGGCCATCATCTGGGCCTTGCGGGGCTCATATAAAGTGACCGCATTGAAATTGAGCGAGCCATGCTCTTTGCGGACAATGCCAACAACCGCATCAATCTCCACCGTAGAAAGAGGATCAAATGGATGAGGCGGTGGCGCAGTAGCGCTGACCTGGTGAGTCAATTGTTGTAGTCGGTCGAGAACCATGCTGTGCGAGAGGTATATAGATAGATGGAGATGGGTTCAATGTGATGAGGGTAAAGCGCCAACCGAGTCAAGCAGTCACTAGAGAGTCAAAGACAATAAATTTGCTTGGTTCTCCTTCAGATCCGGGCTTGCAGACTATTTAACATGCAAGTGGTATCTCCGTATGTCCATAACCATAGCGTTCGTTGGAGGTATACTTCCATCCGATTAGATAAGGCTTATTTGCGGAGGCCGGATCCGATGTCCTGATTGGGATTAGTGTGGTATCTCCAATCCCCAAAGAGCAAAGATATGCGCGTCTTCATCTTGATATTAATACCATCTCTGCATTATTCATGTCGTTTGTCACATCGCGGGGTAGAAGTAGACAATTCGCATGAGCGTCCTCAATTGGGATCGCACACTTGACCTCAATGACAGTTTGGAACTGCGGTTTTTGTCACCCGAGAATGTTTACATGTGTTGAGAATCTCATAAGATGTTACGGAGGCCACAGGTACAAGCTGAAAGGAGCTCATGGATCTACAAAACTAGGTCAAATAGAGCCAACAGAAGCCAGAATTCCTATACATAGGACACAGACAGGTCCGATCTAGCTACAACAAGAAAAGAAGAAAAAGCGACCTAGATCACAAGAACGAAAGGCACAAGGCCACAATAGAGCCTATCAACGCCTCGTAAATGGATTCAAAACCAGCCATATCAAACGCCAGGCACCTTCCTGCCCAACACCTTCGTCCAGACGCAAGAACCCAGCACAGGGAACGAAACCTACGCAAGGCCATAGGCGTGAAGACAATGCCGAATATTGAAGAAAAAGAACACGATGTTCTCGTGTCTATGTACATACATCATATCATACCAATCCTAGGTCCTTCAGGGACTGTCTCTCATACCCGGCCCATTTGATAGGCTCCTGGAGTCGGGGCATTGTAGCCAGCTCCGTGGTGCTGAGGTGTGTGAGCGCCAGCTCCGTGAGACCCAGTATTGGGAGTGCTGGGGGTGCCACCTGAGTAAATGGTGGCACCATTGAGGTTTGGCGTTTGCTGGGCCATGTTGTAGGCCACTGCGGGCATTTGTCCGTTGAGGCCCCAGATTTGGCCGGAATATTTGCTATCGTCAATTTCCCCCGAAAATGAGCTGGCGAGTCTTCCAGTAGATCTCGCCGGTCACTAGGGAGTCCGAGCCAGCCTGGTGAGCAATTCCAACGCGTTTGACGCCAAGTTCATCGGCAATGTCTTGCAAACCAGATTTCTGGCCTAGGTTGGTCAGAATCTGTACTGCAGCCTGAGGGAGAGGAGAACCGTTGACGGCTTGGTTGCGACCGGCATGTTTCATGAGGTACTTGATGTCGTACAGTGACGGGAAGAAGATGGTAAGAAGCTTGTGGAACTCCTCTTCATTTTCTGGAAGTTGGGAGCAGAGCATGATCTTCATCAAGTAGCCAAAGTCGTACCCGGAGTGGAAAGAAACCCAGTGGACGTCATCCAACAGCACCAACCCAGAGCTAATCAGAAGAGCGCCGAACTCGAAAGGATCAATGCCGTTCTTTTCGTGCATGGCGAAATCGATTCCAGATTTGGCAAGCATGGCTGTTGACTCCTGGGCGTACATGTCTCCTTCGAGTGAAAATCGGAAGTTGAACTGCCATGTGCAGGGGGCGGGCACACCATACGCTTGCCCATTGGCATCAGTACCTGAGGCTGGGGGAACCTCTCCTTCGTCATTGAATAAAGTGATGCCTAGTTGGATCATCTTCAGAAGATCGACATTGCATCGGAGGGTCTGATAATGGTAATCCGCTTTGTTCGAAAATGATCCAATCGGCCGAGCAACAATACCAGGGAATTCGGTGTCCTAGGTTCTAGTCAGTAACATTACTCACAGGAGACATCTGTAGTTGGTGCTTACCATGCTGATGTAAGGGTACTTGTCGACCAACTGCCTCAGTACCGCCATCTCATGAGCCAGGTTGTGCTTCCAGACATCTCTGATTCTTGACTTCACTGCACCACCCTTTGCTTCGAGCGCTAACCGACCGTCGTGGCCCTGGTGTAGTTGTTGTTGTTGTTGCATTTGCGCACCGCGCGCGAATCCCATCTGTGCCGCATGACTAGCCAGACCGGTGCCGCCGCCATCACCTGCGCCAGATCCTGGAAAACCGCCTACCGCCATACCATTTGCAATTCCGCCGGATAGTGTAAAAGGGTTGATGTTGGTATTCGGATTGCCTGCGAAGCCAGGATGACCAAGCGAAGGGGGAGGTAGCGTATTTCCAGATTGTGCGTGCGCGGGGTGTTGAGATTGGAGGTGAGCTTGTTGTATGTTGTATGGAGCGTTCAAGCCAGATGGCCCATATCTGCCAACGGGAGGTGGCATTTTGTTGTCTCGAGGATGCGCATGGATGAAGTGACAGTTTCGTCCCTCGAAGGCGGGAGAGCTACTTGGTCTACCGTATTCGGTTAGCGTGGATAATTGCCAAGCACACCTCTTTTCCTCCTCTTCGGCTCCTCACTGTGTCACTTTGCGGTTGATTGCGGACTAAGGGACCAAGTTACAGCCCTTTACATCTTGTTTCTCTTTATTTCCGTCTTTCAGTAATATTTACTACCGGACAATTCCCACAATGCCCGCCCGTAACCCCACCGGTTTCGACCTCGCCCAGTTCAAGGCCGCGGCCTCCCCATCTTCCGTCTGGGCCAAGCGGGATCCATGGGCTCGCAAGTACGTCAAGTGATACCGATGTAATGCCAATTGTGGTGGGAACTAATGTATTATAGTGAGGCCTGGCGCTACACCGGCCCCTTCAGCAGAGCCAAGCGTTTCAGAGGTCTCTTCCCCGGCTTCGGTATCGCGTCTGTCGCTTTCGCTGCCTACTGCACATACGAGCACTTCTTCTTGAAGGATGATCACCACCACGGCGATGCTCACCACGGTGACAGTCACCACTAAAAGGTTGTCTCTGGAGACCAATTGAGAATGCCGCCGACCGACGGATCATCGAGCGGAGGACGTATACCCCAGGCGACAAGAAAGAGTCGTCTCGCCCCCGCGAGAACCACAGCCGGGTTTTGGATCATAGCGCCTACAGCTTTGCCGAGTCCGGGAGCTTTTGTCGTGTTAGGGCGGAGATGCAGCTTCTCGTGGCTCATAAGGAGCGTAGCTTCCAGATGGCGCTTTGGGTTTGATTTGTCGAATGTACATAGCTTTTGTTCCACTACTCCAACCATATTTTTCTTTATTGTTCGATCATCGACTCTACTGGGGTTTTGCCATCATATGCTGGTTATCAAGGATGGTTTGGCTTTGAGCTTCTATAAACACGTAATATCATTATCGACATGAACCCCCACTATGCATGTTTGGGACCTCCAACTTTTGTTTGTCCAGGTTACTCTTCGAACACAAGCGAGATACCATCATCACCGGCAGTGACAATACGCTTTCCATCCAAGCCCTGTACGAAGCCCATGATGCCACCGGATTGCTCGCCCTCGTCATTTTCCGTGACACCCATGTGTCCCTTCCACTCCTGCATCAATCCCTGAGAAGCCGCGGCGGTACCGCCGCGTGCGTCCCAGCGTCGAACCACACCATCCAGGCCGACAGATGTGAGCATCCAAGAGCGGTTCTGGTGGGCTGCGGAAGCATTGGCAAGGGGTCCTGTGGCACCGAGTTGCTTGCTGCTAGGCAGGAACTCAACCTTGACAACGGCGCTTCCCTCGTGGGCTTCCCGAATATGCCGACGGACCGCAAATCGATGGGCCGCATCATACATCACAATCGAACCATCCACAGATCCGGCAGCAAGGAGGGTGAACGGGGCCTGGGAGAATGAGAGTGACTCAATGTTGTCGGTTTGAGTCTGCAACGCAGCCATGATAGTACCTGCAGCGGTCGAACCGGCTGCCTGCGAGGGTGCGTTTTTGCCCTTGCCCTTGGTTGCAGGGGCACTTGCTGCAACTCGAGGAAGGCCAACGACTCTAATGTGGCCCTCAGCACCACCGACTGCAGCAATACCACCGCTGGGGGAAATCGCAATGGTGTACAGACCACCCTCCACGGCGAAGCGCTGATCCTCCGCATTCAATCCAAGGATGGCATTGGTACCCGGGGAGTACTCAATGCCAGCGGCGGCAGCAGCCCCGAAGACGTCGTAAACAAAGAAGCTGCCGTCCTCGGAGACGGTGGCCAGCAGATTGCCATCAGGCGTCCATGCGCCTGCAGTGCATGATTCGGTGTGAGAGAAGAAGGTCTGGATGATCGAGATAGGCTGGCCGGGGTCGGTATGGTCGATACGGAACACCCACGCGCTGCCATCATTGGAACCGATGGCAATAACATTTTGCGTCCCTTCATTTCCCTGCTGGTAGGGGCACACGGCCATCCAATTGATCTCTTCCACTTCCTGGGCCTCGCCAAAGAACTCCCATGCGAGTCCGGTCTTCTGAGGTGTGGTATCCCGATAAGCTCGCAGCTTGCCATCCAGGCCTGCCGTAATGGCATACTCTCCTGCTGGCTCAGTGAAAACCACGGCATTCACTGTGTCAGTGTGGCCGTCGAGCTTGGCCAGAGGCAAGAGAGACTCGCGCTCCCTGGGCTGAGGGTTTGATTCATAGCTCGATGGGAACACAGGACGCGGTGCGGGTGTCGAGTCAAAGATGTATGCTGTGTCATCGCCAGAACCGGTCATGACAATGTTGTTGTGAACCGGGTGCTGTGCAACGCAGAATACAGAGTCTGAGTGCGAGTCGAAGTGTGCTGCTGAGTCGTTTTGGAAGGTGATCTCATCTTCGATGGTCATGTTCTCGTCGGCGTATTGTTCGTCTTCCCCCTCCGACATGTGGTGATCCTCATCACGATCGAAGATCTCTTCAGCATCATCGGCCTGCAAATAGTCCTCCTCTCCATTATCATGTTGCAGATCGTTTGAAGACATTTTTAATTTTTTTCTCAATTCCTAGGCTGGTGGGAGACGAACAATATCAAGTTCAAAGGAGTGATTGATGAACAGTCACTTGTTATACGACCTGTTCCTAAACAATATTGAAGCAAGAAGCAGGGTGTTAAGGCAACTTGAAATGCCCTCGATCTTTTTTCTTACCTCCCCGCTTAGAAATCCACCACCCCGCGGCAGATTATGCTTTGTGTCTTACCGCTCTAGTGACCGCCTTTGCGTCCGCGCGAAACGCGAAATAGCTTCATTGTAGGCTTTGCCTGGATTTATTGGATTTACTGTGAATATATGGCCACAGTCCTGATTGTAGACTGTTTAATTGCAGGTGGAATTGATTCTTTGCATTTACCTAGGCGTTTTCAAAGCGGGAAGAAGCCATGAATCCCTTGCAGGAGTCTTACCCATGTGAGCAATGCGACAAGGTATTCGGGCGTAAACACCATCTGAAGCGCCATATCCTAACTCATACTCGCCCGCAACTCCATCTTACTTGTGAGCAGTGTGGTACACCACTGACACAACAATGCTATGACCGGGGACACGTCGGGTCGAAAGAGTTTAAATGCCGCTTTTGCCCAAAGTCCTATACCCGAAGGTATGGCACAGTCTTCCTATTCATACATCGTTCCAATTCTGATTTCCCGCAAACATTAGGCATAGGCTCGTGGCTCATTTGAAGAAACACCACGAAGGAGAAAATATAAAAACAGAGCCGTCGGACCAGACGAGTCCTTCATCTCCACGCAATACTCAAGATCCGAGCTCCGTCTCTTCAAACATACGTACATCACCTTTCCCATTGAATGAAGATGGTACAAACCAAACTACTCCAGGTCTGGCCTTGTCCGCTACAGACCCTATTTCACAGGATCAGGTTGATGTCTCGCATGATGTTATGGAAATATCAGACGAGTCAGATAATGATGAGAACGGCCCAGCATCGCAAGCAAGACCGCCTGCTAATCCTACACGTGCCCGGGCTCCTGGTCCACGTGTCCCATCATCGGGTGCTCGTGCTCGTGCCACTGCTGTCCCTTCTGCCCCTGTTGCTCCTGCTTCAGCCAGCTCTTCTAAGCCAACTCGCCCGTTGAAATCATCACTTCCCAAAATGCGGCGTTCAGATGAGCGCTTCTTGTTACCTGAATTCCGTTATAACGTGATGACTAACGCTTCAATATATGAGTCACTTAAGTCATACCTTGTGAGCCTGGGGGAAACAGAAGATGGGACATTTCCATGGTGGAGGGTCATGCAAGACTTTGTGCACTTGTATTTTGAACACTTTGACCATGAATACCCCGTGATTCACCCATATGCTCTAGAATTCGGACATGACAAAACCTCATGGATGGTACTTTTAGCAGTGGTCACTGTTGGGAGTCAATATAGCGCTTTCGGCAACGCCAGTCAATTTTCAGCATCATTTGGGGAGATCCTGTCTCAGGCAATAGAACAAAACGTAAGTTCATTTCCCAGTGAAGCCCGTACGTACCTCATATTAACCAAATCAGCGGCCTCAATCACCCGAATCAACAACTTTATCCTATGCACAAAGTGTATTCCTTAGTGACGTCTCCCTGATGTTTGGCGGGTCTCACAAAGCCCAGTTGAAGCTGCAGTATGAGCGAAATGTACTTGTCACCTTGGGTCGTGTCTTGAAGGTTGATCCATGTATGAAAACAAAAACGTTACAAGGTCCAAGACAATGGAGAGCTTGGCTGGCAAGAGAATCTCGTATACGTCTACTTCATTGTATCTTTCGTGTGTGCTACCTGCAACAATATTGGAAGCCATGAATGCCTGACTAATCTTTTACCAGAACTTGAATGTCTTCAGCTCGTCTTATTCGATCGTCAGCCGATATTTGGACAGCATGAACTCCCCGAGGAGTTCCCCTGTCGCCAATCACTATGGTGTCGCAGGAATGCTGACAATTTCGTCCATATATACCGTGACCAAAGTGAGCCAATGCTATTTGTTGTCGACCAGATATCTCGGGATTGACCATAGCTTTTAGATCTATCACAATCTGCATCCACCCAAGTTGATGTCAGAAAAGCCAGTGAAACAATGGCAGGAATGGATGCTTATCGCCGAAATCTCTATATTTTGTCTCTTTACAGCGAGGAGAGATTGTTCCTTGACAAAATGTCATATTCTTCCATCTGGAAATCGAGTCTAAGTTCTCAGGTCACCGGTGTGCCAGTTCCGGACCAATGGGCCCATCTTACACCAACCCCTTCAGCTCTGCGCGCAATGATGTTTCGATCGATGGACGAAGTATTTGCTGCCATCCCCACCTCCGCCAAACCCGACTATATTGCCGTTCGGGATGTCATTCATCATGTCCTGTCCCTTCTCCGGGTAGTATCGCTTCACATGCTCGAGTCATTTTCAGGGTGGCAAGGCGAGGGAGCCGAAGTCGATATGTCAAGGAGTGTCCTGAAAAATTGGATGGAAAACAATGCACCTATCGCCAGGAAATGCCTATGGCATGCTGTATGTGTTTTCGGCACATTGAAAGTCAAGCAGAAATTTGCCTGCCATGATCCTCTCTGTTTCCTGGTTGCTTTCTTCTACATATGGGCATTCGATACGTTCATGGTCGCTCCTGAAATCGAAAAGCCGCAAGCTTCAAACAAGGAGATCCGCTTGTTAGACACTAGAGAAATTCACATTTGGATTGCTGAAGGGCCAAATACTCCACTCAATCTGGTTGGGGTCGGGAATCTGACCGGCAAGGCAAGCTCCTTGCGTCTACTCACCGAGGTGCACCAGATCTTCTCAAAACGGAAGTCCTGGTCTGGGCTTTGCCGTGGCCTTGCGTTTGCAGTTGATCAAATCCTGAGAGAACAGAAAGCTTCTCAGGAAGCCCCTCAGGAAGCCCCTCAGGAAGCTCCTCGGGAAGCTCCTGAGGAAGTCCCTCAGGAAGTCCCTCAAGCGGCCCTTCCGGGAGACAGCAATGCCCAAGTGGCATAAAGGCTTTGTTACTTACTCTCTGAAATAACATATTATCCATTCAGGGCTATTACGATACCCGAAGCTTCGAGGCAATCGAATTTCAAAGGCTTCTGAACCAATGGTCTTTCGACACGTCGATTCATCTTCATTCTGGGCTTTCATATCAATGAGACTAATATTGGCTGCAAATAACTACAATAAACAAGATAACTAACTAATATCAAACGTCAACCAACACACATGTAGAAAAGTCCCTTGCACAAAGTATATTTACCACCTTCATGTATGCCTAAAAAGAACACCTACAAAGAACATCTTAAAAGACATGACAGGGCCACATAAGTGGTCGACTATTCTTGTAATGAAAATTTTGAACTGTCTACCGGTAGAACTACAAACATATACTCTTATAATAAAGACGATTATTGGCGCTTCTCTTCCAAGGTTTCCAAAGACCAAGCTGGATATCCCAACCGCTTTTAAATCTTGCTGCCTGCCTTTCTCCGTGCCTCCTTCTCTTGATCACGGAGCAATCGGCGAAGAATCTTACCACTCGGGCTCTTGGGAACTGCATCCACAAATCTGATACCTCCCTTCAACCACTTATGACGAGCCTTGTGGTCTTCAACATACTTCAGGAGAGCTTGGGAGACTGATTCATCCGATCCTGCCGTGGGGGACTTGACCACGATGGCCTTGGGAACTTCACCGGCGCGATCATCTGGAATAGCGATAACAGCACAGTCGGAGACATCGGGGTGAGCGAGGATATGGGCTTCGAGTTCGGCAGGTGCGACTTGCAAACCCTAGGAATGACGTGTTAGACCGGTAATCTTTCTATCAACCGATGGGATCACGAACCTTGACCTTGATCAACTCCTTAATCCGGTCGACAATAAAGACGTGCTCGACGCCCTTCGGGCTGACACGAATGACAGCCTCATCTCCGGTACGCATCCATCCGTCCACAAATGTCTCTTCGGTGGCTTTTTCGTTGTTCAAGTAGCCCAGCACGACACTCGGGCTTCGGACCACCAACTCGCCTGGCGTGTCGTACGCTGTGATTTCCTCGTTTTCAGGCGTCACAATGCGTGCCTCGACTCCAGGGAGCAAGGCACCGGAGGAGCCTAGCCAGATATCGTTGGGGTGAGTTGAGCTTATGACCGTGGCTGTTTCAGTCAGACCTATGCGTGAAAATGTCAGCTGGGTGTCTATGAGAAGCGCCAATGATCACATACCGTATCCTTGGCGGATCGAAACGTCCGGGTAGTATTTGAGGAACTCGGCTGCTGTCTCCATGCCCAGGGGTGCCGCTCCCGTGAACAAAAGTCGCACGGAGCTCAGATCGTACTTGGAGCACACGTCCTGAGTGCCCAGCATGTGAATGATGATCGGAGGCACCTAAGTGGTTGCGGTCAGCACTTGACAGGATCTTCTCATCAGCGAAGATATACTCACCAAGAAGAGAGTGGTGATTTTATAGTGTTGAATGGCGTTCAGGTAGGATTTCAATTCGAACCTGGGGAGAATGATTGTTTGGTCGCCTCGGTATACACCGGCATGTCCAATGACCACAAGAGCATAGATATGGCTCTGCGGAAGGAGACCAAGAGCAACCTCAGTCCTCGTGGGCCTTGTGCCTCCATCATTCCGATAGTTTTGCTCAAATGCCTTGATCTGAAGTGTATTGGCAATCACATTGCGGTGTGAGATCTTTACTCCTTTCTGTTTTGCAGCACATGATTAATTAAAGTGTTATTCGGGTGATTGGGACACTGCTCACCGGCATTCCAGATGTTCCACTCGAGTAGCACAAAAATGCTGTTCGTCGGGTTCCCTCACCGGCGCTCCATCGCAATTCATCCACTGGCGGTAGAGACTTTCCAACCTCGATGAGTTCGGAAACAGACTTGTATTCTGCTGGAGGCTTCGCGCCGCCAAGAATTTGCTCGGGGACATCAAGCAGGTAGATTCGGCTTCTCGGGAGACCAGCCTTTGCCGCAGCTTCCAGTGAGATGGAGAGGAGAGGAACACAAGTAACCAGGGCCTTGGCATTGGAATCAAGCAATTGATGTGTCAGCTCGGCGGCGGAGTATGATGCATTGGCGGGAGTGAGAACACCACCCAGCTTGTGCACGGCCCAGAATAGGGGCAAGGAATCGATCTAATGGCAACAACAAAAGAATAAGCTCCTTTCTATTTCTTCTTGATACGGAATTTCCACCTACAGTGTTGAGGGCAAACACAGCCAGTGTCTTATCCCATTCCGATCCTTCGTTTGGCGCCCAACCAAATTCCTTTGAAAGACTACGAGCCAACGAGTCAACGCGATTGGCTACCTCTTGTGACGAGTATGACTTCCCGCTGATGCCGCATGTATATGGGTCCAAGGAGCTGGCGTGTGGCACTCGGCCATATTTCTCATTGAGCATAAACTCGCTGATTGGGATATTGTCGGGAATTGGGTCCAATTGGCCCGATTCCTTTGAAGGCAAAAACACCATTTTTCTTTCCAAATTCTTCGGAGTCGCAACGATATAATTCAGGAGTAAATCTCCCAAATAGGAAAGGTGACGGTTATTTTTTTAAAATGCAATTAGCTCCAGGTGGGCGCAATGAAGTCTGACACACGGTTTTAAGGTAATCAAGGGGAAATGCAAGGGTTTAGAGAACTAAGAACTAGCTGAGGGGAGATTTATGAAAAGTGATGGGTGCGGGGAACCTCGGTAAACGTGGCAAGGATCCCCAAGATTTATACCGCTAGTACGGAGTTCGTGCCTAGGTACATATGTACTAGCATTCCTCTACCACTTCTTGGCATTCCATTTCCATCTTAGTGCTCAGTCCTTGCCGCTTTTTGCTCACTGAGTACAACTGAGCACGCCCCTGAGTATTTATATAAGCCCTAACTAAGCCACTAACTAGGCGGTCTGAGTTGATATCTGACCAAGGCAATTGCTGTCTATAACATGACACTATAAAATTGAAAAGATAAATTCGTAATAATAACAACAACTGCTGGCTGTGATATCTTTGCAATTGTAGGGCTATCACGACTCACGAGACAAGAAATAATTATATAACTATAGGCTAGGAGGAAGAGGAGGAAGAAGAAGAAGAAGATACTGAATACAATGATAATGTGTTTTTTTTTCAATGCGGTTTTCAATATCAACAGCTATCAGTGAACAAAGCGTACAACAAAAAAGCGTTAGTCATTGAGACATAGGCGTAGCATATCCAATTTATTGTGGTGTTTTGGACTGGGCTACCAGCCCGGGGGTACTCGAAAAAAAAGCTCCGGTGTACCCGCCAAGCCTGCTTATATCATCATCCAATATTGAGTAGTTAACTAGTTAATTGGTTGGTTAGTTAGTTAGTTAGTTAACTCGTTAACTATGTGTACCATACCATGTATGTTGTTGTATACATGGGGTTTTAGGCCGCAATAACTCTAACTATGGCTTTCTTTTAACTAGTGCCTATTAAACAAACCCAAGTGGTATCAAATCACTACTAAAATAATTAATTAAGGGTCATTCTAGGTGGGTCATTCATAGGCGGAGATTTAACAAAAATAAAATAAAAATGAAAGAAAAAAATGAAGTGACAAGACTATGGTTATATAATCAAATGAATTTGGGTCCGTCCTAGGTTTTAGTTAGACCTTAGGGATAACTAACTATTTGCTTAGATGTTATTCTAGCTTTAGGGGAAAATGATCTTCAAAGGTTAGCAGATAGCCAAGTAAAAAAAAATAAGAAATAGTATAAAAGGAATATAAAGTCTATCAGATCTGAAATAACATACTTACGCCCAAATCCCTGTCGATGCATTCAATGCATATGATACCTTACCTGTAAGGAACTTGAAGCACCTGACGGGTACTGCCGTGAAGGAACTGACTCCGCAGAGTTCACAAAATGAACTACGTACATTGTGGGGGCCGAGCGTTCTTTTGGGATGGACTTGGCATAAACTGAGTGCAATAGATGCCTTTGACAAATCTCTGAGTAATCAAACACACTGGGCACCTGGCACTAAGCGCTCACTGGGCCTCACAAAAGTATCTCATGACTACATTGAGCTACTCACTGAGCTTGAGCCCGGACTGAGATTTACTCACTGAGCCCTCGGCATAAAAGCAGCAGCAGCCAGGATAGGAAAGCCCCACCCGGCAGAGGGGAAACACTACGTAGAGCTACCTAGGTAGTACCTAGTTACATAGATAGGTAACTATGGATGTAGCTTCTAATAAAAATTGGATAACCGGCCTAAATTTGTGCCGTTCGACTCGGTGGGTATTTTTTGTGTTTAGCTACTTACTTATATGGAGTAACTAATTGGAGTTGAAACTGCCAAGACCAAAGTCACCTCGGTCTATACATATCCGAGGGTATTATCTACAGCATGCTCCATCTAATATTAGCTTTAATTGGTGCACAATAAGAAGTTGCTTCGGTTTAAAATGAATACAACATAGAGAAGTCAGAATTATCCCAAGAAATCAAGATATCTGTCTCCTAAACTTGCTCTAATTGCTTGGTTTAAAGTGGCCTTGGCGTGTAGATCCCCCGCAGCCGGCTTACCCATTTAGACTGTGCCGAGTACGGCTGATTTGGACCAAATTCGACAAATGCACATAGTACATACTACCTAGTTATAGAACGCACTGCAATATATACGACCTACAATTGAAATTAAGATGGAAAGCTCCATGTATTGAATCCTCGCGGCCGGTTTACCTTTTGAACTGAGCCGAGATATTTTGTACTACACTAACAGCTCCTTTCTTTTGAAGCTATTTAACTACAAAATCAAATGACAGCTTGATCATGTTTATCTTTTCTTGTATGTATATCCAAAGATTACTATACTATAGTTCCTTTATGGGCGGAGTGACAACGTCCACGACTGTTCATTTGAGGTCAAATATGACAGGCTCGACTGACCAATTTTCCGGTACAATAGCGAATATAACGAGGTCTTCTGAACGGTTAACTGCCGTGGGCTCTAGAGTTGAAGTAAATTAGTGGCGTACATATTCATCGGTAACCACTTGCATGTCATACATGGTCGACCATTTAGCCTACTGATCTATATCTCCGTCATTCCAGTCCATATACAAACCACCCATAACCGAGAAGATTATTTCTTGAGTATCTCCTTCTTGGGTATCTCTTTCTTACCTAGACAGAATAAAGCCCACTAGGGTGTTAGCATCAAAGTGTCTAAACCTCGTAGGTAAGACTCTCATTGTGTTATTCACCGGAGATTCAGTGTCATCTTATACCAAATTAATTCAAGGCCATTTCTTGTGATTTGAAATTCATAATAAGCAGTAAACTCCCTCAATACTAGCTTATACTATAATATGAAGTCAAAGTTTATTGCCGGCTGCACTCCGACCTCGACGCCGCTCTGGCAAAATATATCTCGGGTCCACGCCTAGCTCCATCATCCTCCCACCTCGCAATTCATTCCACCATATAGCGCTTTTCATCCCTCTCTACCATTCAATGATTTCTCGAAGCTGAATAGTGTCTAAAAATTTATATTGAGCACAATCAAGACCCAAATTCACCTTGTATGGTGCCATTGGGCGTTCTATACTGTAAGTCTGACTATCGGTCCCCATCACCAAATATGATTTTGTTGGCAGTTTGGTCTCATCTGGGATATGTCTGAATATGGTACTTACTTGATTTATCACAAATTAGCTTGCTTATACCACAAACTGTGGAAGATGGCACCACGCCCTGCTGTCAATCGTCGCCAGGCGGCTGAAAGGCCAGTGCGCACAGGCCGCATTGCCAAAACAAACAAAGGACAATCAAACAAAGGTGCCATTGGCTTTATTTTCCTTTTTCTTGGAATATAACATGCTGATACTAGACAGTTTCCCCAGATCAGCTGGAAGCTATTGTCAACGATCAAATTCGTGAGCCGGTTTATGGAACACCCCCGGCCTGGTCAGAGGTATGCCACCACTAATCGGTTATAGCTCATATGGCATTTATACTGAATTTTCTTCTAGGGTCGCCAACAACTTTGTGATGCGATTCCATGGTTCCGTTGCACTCAGGGCGCAATGTATCACAATGAAGGTTTCTGCTATGGCTTCCTCATTGATGCTGATGGTGGTACCCGCACTTATATCGACGAGGAAATTATCATTACCAGGATGTAAGTATTGTGTCTCGAAAATAATGGCCTGCCTCTACTGACCTTTATCAGCGGCGGATGCTGCACTAAAGACTCGGGGGGAAACTTGACCCTCGAAAGGAACCAAGACCCGGAGAATGCACTCGTCCAAAGCATCATCGCGAGCCAAAACTCAAAGCTTGCTGTTGGGCTTGTTATCGGTAATCTATCAAAGACTATGTCAAAAGAAAACCTGCTGACCACCGTTTTAGGGAGCAAGAACAAGGTTCTCAACAGAGAGCTTCCGCATCGGTACAACATCATGGACTGGTTTCGTGTTACCAATGTCTGGTTTGAAAAGATTGGTCAGAAACATGGAGTCAAGGTCCGCTTCGAGAAGCTGAATCTCTCAGAAAAGAGCTGGTGGGCGGCTAAGGACTCCCCCTCCGGTGCCCGTTGATGAACGGGACTTTGAAACGAAGCCCGAGATCCTCAAGTGTGAGAGATGCTTCACGGAAAGTGTTCACATGTACGAGGAAGGTTGGATGTGTCTTGACCCTGGTTGCATCGATTTCTGGAAGATTGACGATGCTTCCCCTCCCGCTGAACTCACTTTCAATCCTGATTTCCTAAACTTTCGGAGTCGCCCAGACCCAGCTATCCAGCCCCACTATAGTCTAGTTCCTGATCTTTTGTCCACATTGGATGAGACTGCTGCGGACGTTAGCACATCTCGTATCGCATGGAAGGGAATCGTGTGCCCTATGTGTTTCAAATGCATTCGACGAACTTTCTGGCAAGGCTGGAAATGTGACGATGACTCTCTCGGTGAGGAATGCGCAAACAACTGCCCATTTCAAAAGTTCATGAACATGAACCCCGTTTCGCTCCGGGTCGTCCTCGATCATTTCGAGCTGGCCCCGATCAAGCGAGCAATTCTTTTTGATCGGAAGTTTAGCATCCCAGAGATTGATGACAGTACCTTCTCCCCTTACCGGAAGTTGACTTACAAACTTGACGGAGTTGGCACCATTACCCACTTTGTGTCCAACAAAGCAATCAATGGCCGCGCGAATGGACCGGATGACCTTTTCATCAATCTCCAACGTGGCGATCTTGGTCTCAAACGATTCCGGCTCCAGTCCAGTCTGGGTAAGTGGACCAGATACAAGCCTAAGAAATATAGTTTCTCACACTGGAGCAGTTGCCGGTACATTGACCTCACATTTCGCAGTCAACTACGTAAGTGAAGAGACACCACCTTGGCATTTTAGTTTTCATCTCATCTGACCCAATGACATAGGGTATGCCCTACAAATATGTCGTATCTGTCGATTCAAAGGGCTTTGATGAAGCACCCAACGACATGCTCCAGGCTCTTGGTCGTTTGTCGTGGGCAACTGAAAAGGCAGTTGTTTCATCTGGAGACGAATACTTGCCTCCAAATGAGTTACTGACACTCGGCTACTTCGAGGAAATGAAGATCGGAGTAAGTCAAGCTTGTAAGATTGACAATGGCCTCCGCTAAAACACCTTCTCTCAGTTCCACGATGACGGCGAGTCCTCGCTCGGTCCCACTATCGCCACATTGTCCCTTGGAGCGAAAGCCACCATGTTCGTCCGTATGAAGTACAAGTATTTCAATGGCTGTACCCGAAGGGCTGAGCCCAAGCAACTTGGGAATCTTCTGCAAGATGATCCTGTCCTAAAAGATTGCATGTTTGAGGGCGAACGTCGAGCACTAAAGGAGGAGTTCGATGCGGGTGAGATCTCGCAAGATGAGTATGATGACTCTCGTCGTGCTCTATCGATGGGCCGCAAGGGAAAAGAGGCCCCAGTTACCATCAAGATGGAACTTCATCATGGTGATCTGATTGTCATGCACGGAGAGAATCTTCAGAAGTACTACGAGGTTTGTGGTTGTTCATCTCTTCGCCAACATTGAACATCAGATCTGACCAATTTAGCATTCTGTGGTACCCGAGAACAAGTTGCGCTTTGCTTTGACTGCAAGATACGTCAAGCCCGACCATGTTGATGCCAGAGAGATCCAGAAAGGCCAGTTCTCACTCACACCCGACCAAATCTACGATGGGAAATGATATCTGACACGATTTTGAATCATTTTTTTTCCATATTGTTAACTCCGATTGCTGATCTCTATGCCTTGAGTACCGACGACCTTATTTATATCCACCATGGTACTAATTGCCGGGCTAGCCATTCTATTTTTGTGATGGATATTTCTATGATGCGCCCAGGCATATTTTGCTGTTTTTGCTATATACCCTACTGCTTATACTTTTTTATTGTGTGCTATCTATCTTATTCCTGTTTTCAATGCTTTATTTTATAATCATTTGAGTCACTCATCAGTAATAATCGTAATAATCCTAAATATAAAAAGATAATTGTTGTCAACTTGACTACCTGAACCAATTGTATAACTAGCAGTGTCCATGTACTTTCCCGATTCGGTCGGGACTCCGACCAAAAAGGGAAAGCGGCCTTGGAAGATTCTAACTAAGCGGCTCCGCGGCCTCGGCATGCGGCCTCCGCGCCTGAGCGACCTACACTACGTTTTTCTTTTTGCTTTTCTCTCATATCAGGAGTTTGAAATGTTGAAAGGACGTTATGGTTACTAGTAAATAACGCAAAGTGTCTGCGAATTCATTCTACCAAATGAATGACGAGGCGTTGCGAGCTGTGAGTGCCACCAGAAGGCTTTCGGCATTCGTATACTGATGATATTAGTGTGACCTTTGCCGGTCGAGAAAGGTTAAAGGAGTTCATTGAGTTTATTTACTGCCCACGAACTGATGTCTTTTAATAGGTCCGCTGTGATAAGCAGCTACATTGTGCGAATTGTAGGGATGCAGGCATCGAGTGCACTCGTACAAAAGCTAAACGATCTCGCCGACAATCATCCTCGGTGTATGTTTTCATATGACTCCATCTTGGTACATGCTTACAGAATCCGATAATAGAATATCTGCTCTCGGAGAAAGATTGTTAACCTTGGAAAGAACAGTTTCAGAGTATGATTGCCAGTCTTCTTTACTTCTGTACTCCCATTGATTGATCGACCAGGGGTATTGAAAACATCATTTCACCAAACGTTGCAAATTATCATGATGCAGGTACACCCTCGAAAAAAAGGAGATTGGATCCTGTGTCGCACATAGAAGGTGCATCCCAACTTGCCCAGGACGAGTGTTCCATTGGATCGGCCACACACCATGTAGAGAAGGCGAGAGTCGTTATACAAGGAGAGCTTGATGGAAATGAACATATGGACCGTGAACGGAAGGCGATACTCAGGTCTGCCCTGCAATTCGTGGATGTTGCGGGGCATAGGAGAACCTCAATCACCGATAAATCTTCGCCGTTGGAAGTGCTACAGGAAGACCTTCAACATGTTGGACCATTTATTGCCCCGTCGCCAGAGCTACTTTACATGCTCCTTCCAGGTATGAAAAGCCATCTTCATTTCCAATGCATCCACTAATAGTAATACAGAGCCAACAGCTATCACCCCACAATCTAGTTCCGTACAATGGCCGGACCACATCTCGGATAAAACACTGGAGAAGATGGCTTCCACCATTCTCAGTGATAATGATCATGAGCACGGGCAGTTATTCTATCAGTATTGTATATGCGTTTATGTGAAGGCCATCTTGCTTCTCTACCAAAAGCCGAGAGCATATAAGGATCCGCGCATCCACGCACAATTTCTGAAGTCCAAGAAATTATATGAAACGTATGCTTTCCGCGCTCTCAAGAGTCTCAATTTCTTGAATCCCCCGACTCTTCCATTCATTCAGGCGTTGATATCTGCTGTAAGTTACCATTCGTTCTTCGACAAACAAGTGTTTCATTAACAACCATCGAACAGGCATTTCTCATGCAGTATCTTGGCAACGTGAGCCAATCCTGGATTTTCAACTCATACGCTGCTCGTCTGATTACCGCTCTAGGCTATCATGAAATTCGCAATGCAGTCGGGAATTCAAGCCTCGATGAAGAGATCCGTAGCGCTGTATGCTGGTGTTTCTACCTCGACCGAACTCTGAGCACCCTTCTCTATCGACCACTGTCGCTGCCAGACCTTCGCATCCCTCCCACGAATCTAATTACTGCCGACCAATCCCTGCCCCATATCCCATTAATACGAATTTTGTTGGATTTAGCTCAGGTGCAAGGAGAGCTGCTGAATTGCGGAATGGCGGACAACACTCGCCAAATCATCGCCAATCATTCAAGGCTCCAAGAAAGAATGGAGGCCATATATTCTAAAATACAATCTGTGAGTTTGACTAGGATACTTGTCTTTCTTCAAGCTAACCTATTCTCCTAGAGTCGAGCATCAACCTCAAACTGTATCGCCTCGGAATGGATTTCATGTGAATTTTGTCATTACGCGATTCTCGTTGATATTCTTCGATCCCGGTTAAAATGTACATTTTCTCCTTTGACACACAAGGAGTGTGTCTCATATTCGCGGAAATCTCTCAGGGCACTACATCACCTTCAGAAGAACCTTGCGGACACCCCAGGATTCGTGGATCCTTATCCCACATTCCTAACATGGTTAGTTAGCCTACTTCAAGCATCATCAGTACTCCCACTAATATCTCTGCATTTTCCTCAGGACTGTTCTTCTATACCCCTTGAGTCCATTCTTCGTTATCTTCTGCAACATCATTGGAGAATTAGACATGGATGACTACAATCTCATGCAAGATATCACGCAAAGCCTGTCTCAGTTCGCCGCAAGTCCATATATTTCAAAATTGCTGAAACTTCTGGACTACCTGCAGAATCTCTGCGTACCGTTGATCCAAGCCAAGCAGCGCATGGGCCCGCGGGTTAAAGTCCCTACTTTGTACCCTTCAATGACTGGGACCTGGCACGACCATCCAGCTACTCATGAGAATGCGCACCAAGAGATGGATAGATCTTATTATATGGATCCCGTTGCTGGAGCATACCCTCCGCAATTGCAAACACCCAGTGATGAAAGCTATGCACCCGATGATGCGTTGATGTCGCAATTGTTTAATAGCGAACTCTCACTGGAGTGGTTCGAGTTTGATTCTTTTTATTCTTGAGGATGCCTGTATTTGTATTTGTGGACACGTCCGTTCCAGTGAAGTATCTCATTTCTCCATTTCTCTAATTCTTTAATTTTCCTTTTCCTTTCACTTCTAGGACTGACAACCACTTGTTCCTATATAAATATGTGCCTTCTATAGCGATATAATCAACCATCATCTATCACTATTTCGGAGCCCATTCTTGATGCCCTCCAATCTCTGGAGTCTGGAGTCATTTTAGGCGAAAATATACTGTTGCCCAAAGTCCACTGCACATGTGGTTGTGGATGTAATATAAGCAGTGGGGCCAAATACGGTTCACTCAGCCTCTCTCAGCCTTCCAAAGTTGCCTCAAAACGAGAAATAATTGGGGGCCACGATGATTTATTATTCACTTATATGGACCCCTATTACTTGTTGGGTTCACTTATTTCTCTAATGGCATGAAGATATGATTTAAATATATATATATATATATACACAAATAAAAAGGAGGCATTCTACCTATGTACATGTACATATGTTTGACATGCACCAATTATTAATTAGTAACAAGCTCAAGGTCAAGACATAACTAACAACATGTGGTTATGTTGGACCTAGTACACTTCATACTTCATATATTTTATAACGGCAGTTACTTCCAGATAACGTGGACGTCCACCACATTAAATAGCATTCAGCCTCTTGTACCGAGTACAATAGGCATAGTGCACGAGGTGGTGAACCCCGTTGGCGGTGGAGAACGGTACCTCGACTAGCGTGGGCGCAGCTGATGGAATCCCAACACACCTCCCACATATTTCCCCCAAAAACAACTCCTGGTTTTGCATATCTGCTAGACTTGGTTTCTACATTACCAAGGCTAGTATATCGCGCTCTACGGTTTCATTGGGGATGCCCAGAGCCAGCTCTTCGCCAGCGTGTTACCGGCCCGCGTGGTCGTTCCCCTCACTGAAATCAGTTTGATTTACTCTGAACTAGTCACTCGTTTTGATATTCATCTAAGTGTCCGAGATTAGACTCCACGGTCCTGCTAGGCAATCTCTCGCGCAATCCTAGGCGCGTCAAGTTGAGTCGACCTCACGTCGGACTCTCACCCCTCCGAAACCATGTCGCAATATCCGAACGGTCAACAGGCATACTACGGCCAACCTGCAAATCCCCAAGCCTCTGTCCAACCCCCCACCAGCCATTATGACGCCTATTCGTCCCAAAACCCCACGCCGGAGCAACACCTGCCTCGAAGGATGCCTAGTTACAATGCTGGGGATGATTCTGGATTCTTCAACCCTGCACAGGCCCAGAATATGAGAGCGACCGAAGAAAACAGACAGTATTCAGCACAAAGTGGTGGTTATGGTAGCAGCGCCGGACAGGGTGGCTACAACGCTGTGCAGGGAGCCTTCGAAGATGACAGAGACTCGAGATATTCGCGGACGTCGGACGCCATGTCGCGCATGTCTCCGAGTCGCGCCTCTTCGCAAACCTCCTCCATGCCGTATCAATACCAATACTCCGGAGCACCTTCGTCCCAGCCAGCCTACAACCCACAGCAATACGGCCTTCCACACACCCAGTCGCAACCGGCTCTCGCTTATAACCCTCAGACGTACACTGGCGCCAGTAATGCTTACGCCGCTCCAGCCCCGGGCCATCAACCATATAATCCTGCAGCCTACCAGTCTGCCGCTGTTTCGGGGCTGAGCTCTCCGATTTTACCCAGAAGACAGAGCACAGCTTCGCACTACGGACAGACGCCGCCCACCCCACAATCGTACGGCTTCTCCCAACAACCACCGCTTCCGCCGCCGCGGGGCGCTGATCATCCGTATGGAGGACGTTCGTACCAACCAATGTCACCGAACCCTTCCCCTTCTTATGTGCCGTCAAGCTCCCCGGGAATAATGCATATGCCCCCCGCCTACACCACGTCCTTATTACGGCAACTCGCAAGGGGCTGCGTATGACCTACCGTCTCCCCAGTACACCCCAGCGATCCCAAGCGGTTCCTTCGAAGAGCAGCCCCCGGCGCCTCCAGTTCACCAGACCCACGCAAATGGTCTATACGGCAGGCAGCCAAGCTTATCTCATTCCGGGGCAGGGCGAACCCTGCCGACGCCCCCTGTGCAGGTAGACTTGCCTCAGCAACCACCGAGGCGAACTGACACTCTGACTCGACACCCCCAATCCCGACCTCTTCCTGGACCCCCAGTCGACGAAGCCGGCGCAAATGGCTGGCCAGCGGAAGCTCCCATGGCATACGAAGATGTGCTCAGAGAGGACGGGGCGGCAGCGTTGGACTCTCAAAGCTTTGCCCGACGTCACAGTTCTAGAGCATCCCACGCTAGCTCTGCTCCACACATGCACTTCTCGCCTGATGAGGAACACACTCACACCAACGGTAACATGGAGACAGGCACGGGGCATACCGTCAACTATGATGCGTACATTGACGAAAGCGACGCCGAGGCTACTGCTGGTTTGATTATGATGCAAGAAGACATAGCGCGCGAGGAGCGCGAGAAAGGGCGAATGCGACGCGAGACCAATGCCTCAGTTCTCAGCTCGCATGGATCCAACGGATCACCAAGAGGGCATTCGCCACACTCTGATATCAATGGAGATAATGATTCCGTTCATGACCTAGCACATTACGAAGGAGGATACCAAGCAAATGTGCCCTATGGCGATGAGCCATTCTACAGTTCGGAAGACCACTCGGACCCTGCCGCGACCAACGGATTTCCAGGCACATCTGGTTCATTCAGAAGCTCTGGGTCCCCCGATGACCGTGGTGAGTATTACAACGAATATGAACACCCACCTATTGCATATGATTACGCCAGACGTCTCCACCACACCCCGGCCGATGCCAGGGTAGATGCCAGTGGCACAGGGGGATTATCGGCACCTGATGCCTATTCCCGACGGATGAGCTTTGACTATGGCGATGAAGGGGAAACACCATATCAGACCCATTCTGGAGATCAATCCGATGACGAGAGCCCCCACCGATCCGCACATGAAGATCTGTTCTTCCACCCTGGAATGCGTCCATTGCCACCAGCACCCGTTGGGCCTGCGGGTAATGTTGATCTTGTGTCACAGTTAATGCCTGCGGGCACCTATAACCGCCACTCGGAGCAGCAGGATGACTTTGATGGTTATTCACAGTATAACAACCCCTCCCTGCCGACCTCCGTGGATTCTTATGGCGATGCTTTGCATAGCGCGTCCCAAGTTCCGCGGTCGTCATCTTTGTCGACTCCTATTGGACCTCGTACTGATGCACCCATCAGATCGAAGACCGATGCGGACCGGCTCAGATACAGGCAGCAGCAGCAAGAACTTCTGCTGCAGCTTCAGCAAAAGGACCTACCTCATCTCGACCCAGCGGCGGCTGCAGCCGCGGCTATGACGCTGGATCTGCCAAGCATCCCAGCTGGCCGGCGCAAGAAGTTCCATCCCGCAAAGCTGTCATCGGAACAATTCAAGAAGTGTAGTGAGCCGTGGGCTTTGAGTTCTCTCTTATCCTGGATCAAGGACCTGAGTGAAGATGAAACAGACCTTAGGGAGCAGACAATTGCCGATGCCATGGTCGCGTTGTTCACCCACAAAGTGCCCACCATGAACATCGCCGATGCTGAGACACTGGCTACTCGTGTTGTCAGCGGTATGCTTGAAGAAGGTGCATTGGTCAAAGAAGAAGAATGGGTCAAGTTTGGCTCAGGTACTCTTTCGGGTATCCTATTCCAGATCACTGGCACTGGATGTTACTCTCCCAGGCTCCACCTACATGAGATGCACATTGAAGATACTGATAGTTTCGCTCGATGTTACTCGCATCACTGTATGCGGACATTGAAGAAGGTCAACCTCAAGGCACAGATGATGGCACCCCAGAAGAAAGTCGAGGACTGGGTTACTTTCTACAAGGTGCCCAAAGAGGTCTGGGAAGCTCATCCGAGGAAAGAGGTCGATCGACAGAACAATTTGCACGAAATTGTCACCACGGAAGACTCCTACATCACGCAACTGGATGTCCTACGGGAACTCTATCGTGATCAATTGGCTAAGATGAATCCTCCGATCATTCCGGCGAAGCGATTGCCCAAATTCTTGGCTGATGTGTTTGGTAAGGTCGATGCTGTGAAGAGAGTCAACGAGGATTTCCTGTTGGCACAGCTTAAATATCGTCAAAAAGAACAAGGGCCTTTCATCTCTGGATTCAGTGACATCTTCCGGGAATGGATTCGCAAAGCTAAGAATGTTTACATCGACTATGCAGCAACCTTCCCAACGGCAAACTATCTTGTGCGCAAGGAGGCTGAGCGCAACCCACACTTCAAACAGTTCCTGAACCAAGCGCGGGAGCACAAACTGTCCAGTCGCCTTAGCTGGGATACTTTCCTCAAAGCTCCGATTACCAGAATCCAACGGTATACTCTTCTGCTGGTGACTGTACACAAGAATATGGTCAAGGATTCCGAAGAAAAGACCAATCTGGCACAGGCCATTGAAGAGATTAAGGTCGTGGCGCTGGAATGTGACAACAAAGTGGGGGAGATGAACAAGAAAGCCGACTTGATGGAGTTGGCATCCAAGCTGCAATTGCGACCCGACATGAAGAAGGAAGTTGAACTCAATCTCGAACACTTGGGTCGACAGATCATCCATCGAGGCGAGCTGCAACGTCCTGGAACCCGCACAAGATTCCTTGTCGATACGCACGCCATCTTGTTCGACCATTATCTTGTTCTCGCCAAGATATTCACAATGCGCGACCGGGCAGTGAAGTATGAGCGATACGATATTTCAAAACTGCCCATCCCAATGGACCTATTGGGCCTGGAAAGCACCGACGATGATCCTGTGGTCAAATCATCCGTCAGGGGAGTTGCGACTGTCACGCCCTCCCAGGCGGGTGCTGGCAGCCCTCTTGCACATACAGGGTCTGGGGCATCAAACGGGGCCGCTGACACCTCAAGGGACGACAAGATCCTGTACCCTTTCAAAATCAAACATCTAGGCAAAACTGGAACATATACTCTATACGCTTTCTCGGCACAAAGCCGCCTGGAATGGTGCCAAAAGATCATCGAAGCGAAGACAAAGCATGCTGCTGCTCTCTTCTCGCAGAACGCTGAGCCATTCCGACTCCGTGTACTTGCGGACACTGCGTTCGCATACTCTGATCATACACCCGGCTCTACAAGTGTCACCATCAAGGGCACCCCTCTCCATCGTGCGATCAAAGAAGTCGAGAAGCAATATGAAAGCTCGAAAACTCGTCCTCCGGCGGTATGCAAGACCGCAGTCAACTGTGCCACGGTTTTCCAACAGCCACCTGGGCGCATTATGTGTGCAATTGGAACGGACTATGGACTGTACATGTCTGAGCTTAATAATCCCCGGGGTTGGTACAGGGCTATTCCCATCACGCGGGTCACACAAGTTGCGGTCTTTGAGGATTTCAATCTGCTGTTGTTGATTGCAGATCGGTCTTTGATCGCATACCACCTCGACGTGGTCTGTCCCGCCAATGGGAAAACCTCTCAGGCATCTCAAGATTCTGCTCGACGAGCCCCGCAGAAGCTGTCTGGAAACCGTGAAGTGGGCTTCTTTGCCGCTGGTCGCCTGAAGGACAGATACTTGGTTCTGTACAAAAAGCGTGAGGGGTTATCATCTACATTCAAGGTATGTACAGTGGTAGCGAGCTCGATACGACAACAGCAAACTCACATACAAAATCTAGGTTCTTGAGCCCGTCCTGCAGAAATCGTCCACAAATAAGAGCCGCCTGTTCTCACGTCGCTCACAAACGGAGTTCTTCCGTGATTATGACGAGTTCTACATCCCTGCAGAGACCTACCGAATCAACATGTTCCACTCCTCGCTTGCCATCTCAACCCAAAAGGGCATCGAAGTCCTTACTCTCGACAAGAAACTGTCATG